AGACTTGGAGTTTGCTAGTGGTGTAGTAAATGCGATCCGGTAAATACACACCCTTGATAGCTCCACATTACCCCGGCATATATGGTCACAGAAGCCGCTCGGAGAATCGACCGGAAAGGACAGACGACACGCTGGATTCGAAGAATCATCCATCATCCCTTCATGGATGAATTGAAAAGAGGAGAGCGGCTGTTTGCCAAATAAATTTGACATAGTGCCAGCCGTGGCTGTTGTAGTTCAGAGTGTTCAGGAAATATTGCCAGAAAGTGACAAAGACACTAGCTCCTGTCTTAGCGGAGATACCACTCGATGGAGAGATAGAACGGATTGAGGCCATGGGGGAGAGCGCATATTAATCGTTGACGGACAGACAGCGTCCTTACGAGAAGAGACGATATAGGCTCATACTCTCATGTAGGTTGCCTTTGAAACCGCCTGTAGTAGCTTTGGATGTTTCTTCCTAACAGGGAAAGCGATAATATCATTTTCCATATCAAGAGTCCCGCGAGCTATCTCCAGGCCTTTAGCACAACTGATCGATGGCCCAATAGTCTCTCTCTCTTTCGTTGGTCCCTGGTCTGCTGCATCCATGGGCGTAAGGTCTGACGGCCCAACTAGTTGTGTGCAGGGATACAGGGATATCAGATGCATGACAAATATAAGATAAACCACGGTCGATGTGACAGATCTCTCAACATTCGGGATAATGCCATCCTACGCCACACAGCACGAGAAGCAAGCCAACGGATCGAAGAGTGGAGAAGTCTAGTGCTCCTGGGGTTGCTGGCTGTGCAACTCATTCCGGATACATGCAATACCACGAAGGTCCATGGATCATTTATCGGGTCATTTGTTGACACTCCTGCCAAAAATTATCCACAGGCACATACTGAATTCACAGCCTTCAAATACTTGGTTGGGGACGTTTTACCATGCCCATATCAATACCCATAGTAGACTCAATTTCACCATGTCAGATCAATTGCTGTTCCAGACTACGCCGTACCAACAGTGGCGCACAACTGTATCCAATCAGACCAATCMGTCCAATTAAGGTTTAATAGGCCGGCTGGGTACATCGATAACGAGTCAGGTGACGGTGGTTATTTCCACGCCAATGAGTTGTCTGTCTGACAAAAACTGGAGCGGATGTGTTCCAGAAATATCGAATCTGCGCTACAAAGGCTCCAAATAAGTGTGTAAAATGTCATTGACCGCAAATGATTGAAGAGTKGACTATTGTATGGCTACTTTGGTCATGGCTCTGGACAAACCCACGTCTTGAATAGAGCCGAACCTAGCAAACGATCAATTAGTGAAGCGGTGTGCTCCGAGACTAGGGCGCAATAATTTGGAATCGAGTACCAAACTGCTGGGACCATTCTCGCGGCGAAATGTGACTCGCCCAGAATTGATAATGGCAGAAATCTTTGATGGGTGTAGCTGGCTCCAGCGCAGTTGACGCCGCGCTAGGCGCAGCGCTTCTCATCAAGGAACAGATGATTTATGCTTCCTTGAATTTAACTATACTTTTCGTGAAGCTCCACCTTGCTATCCAACCCACTAGTCTCGAAAGCATAGTGTCATATTGGTCAGTAGCAGTCACACTGTCCGGGGAAAGGCTCCAGAATTGGGTGAATCGATCATATCCCAGCACCCGTACCGCGCGAATCAACTTTGGATTGAAGGGTTTGTCATGCGGCGGAATCTGATTCGCTGGGTCGGCTCATTTAGCTAAGCATCATGGACAGTTTCGAATATCAACTGTTCGTTTTCGATTTCTTCCTTGCCCCAGCCATCAGAGGGAAGCAGGTGTTAGACGGCAGAGGAGAGATGACTAAAAGCCATGTCGTCGCTGCAGGGCAAGTTGCACCGCGGTGGCTTATGCGATACAGTCTTGAGAATCAATATGACTCAGTCCTCATATTTCAGAGCCAGCAACTTATTGAATACCCCACAGCGATTTACAATATCCCTAGGGACTAAGATGACTAGTCTGAACCGTATCGGAAGTTTGACGCCTCGCCCAACGTGATCACGTCAGGATCATCGTGCCGCCCTGGCACGTCATAGGTATCGCTATATTTTGACTGAGATCGCCACATTTGCGTCTAGGCCACACTGTTATAGCATATATCAGCGACTTGAACTATGTGATGTTAAAGACGCGCCCAGTGTGGTGCAGTGCCAGATCTGTGGGTGCTGAGACCGGACGGTGCTTCTGCGACAGAACAAACAGAAGTATTTCGCGATATGGTTCTCTCCTTGACTGTCCGCGACAGAAGATTGGTTCGCGAATCAAAGAGCCTGACGCCAACCAGTGCAATTTCGGATAGCTGGATCTGTGAAGCCATCGATGCATCGAGGCCTAAGACATTCTTTGTCTCAGTTAGAAAGCCCGGAGTTCGAGTAAAACTCAACTGAGCGCCACTTTTGACGTTTCGGGGTTTGCTTCTTGGCCTGAAAGAGGAATAACAGATCGTCAATCTCATCTGATATTTCTAGAGGCTCAAATGCCTCTGTGGATCGCAGATCATATGCACGCCATGGGACGCATCTGGATTTTATTGACCTGACCGTAGCACAGTTGGGGAAACAATTTTTGGGAGCAATTGATCGATCAGTCCCTCMGCTATTTGCTAACAAAGAATCAAGCAGCGTAGCGCCATTTCTTTATCTCACCAGCGAGTAGATCAGCCACCACTAACTTTTACCAGCCAATCAAGATCAGCAGTGGATCAATATGAGAGATGGTCCMACCAGTCATTCCGGATCTGCAGTTCCGTAAATTGTGGCGATGATCGTACTTTAAGGAGGCTAGCTAGGGGTCAATTTCACGTGCCTCTCTGGATGCCAAGAGTAGCAATTCGGTCCAAGCCGCTGGCCACCACCCACATCCTCGCCGCCGTCAACTCCCCAGATCGTCTGCCACTCTGCCAGGGCCATTAGACCTCGCGTTGTCTATAACGACCTCGTCAAGCCTTTAAAAAATGTGTTAGACGAGAATTTCCTGACATCAGACACCTGAATTGGATGTTGCTGGATTCGTCGAGAGTCAATCCACCGTTGTACGAGAGACGTTTTAGTGTTTGCTCCGAGATTTGGCGGTCTCTGGGAAAAGTTGGTCAATTAGAGATGATTTACAACTGCTGTGAACTGTACAGTTGGTCTCAATCATTTCTGATCTATACCAATGGCTCGAAGCTCCTCAGGGGAGTTGACCCTATCACGCTTCCGATGGAGAATATTCCGCACCGCAATAGGACACGCGCCAGTCAACCAAGCTCATCGATGTTGGTTTGATGCAGGATGACACTGTGTTTCAATTGGCACTGATTCGGTACGTGTTGTGCTCCTCTGTCCTCCACGGGCTAGTATTGAAACGCGGAGCTGCTCCATGGCCCTTTCAACATCCTCATTCCACTGCTTCTGTTCCTCCACACTGGTCTCTAGTGCCCTTAAGTCCTCCATCAGTCTATGCAATGGTCGTACATGGCAGAGTGTTGACGGTGCACTTACTCTACCCTCTCGGATAGTCTGGCAGCGCCTGTCAGTTAACCGCGCTTCTTTCTGTTACGGCAACACATAGAAATGATGGTACGGTACTCATTCAGGAAAGGTAAGACCGACATTTGGGCCGGAATCCCATTTATCCTATCGGTCGATCGGCTTGGGTAGCTCATGTTGAATTTAGCAATGCTCGACGGATCCTCATCGCGTTCGATGGTTCCGTGTACGTCCGCGACTATGGGATGGCTATTGCGAGGAGAAGCAGTAGTGAAATACAGGTCGTGTTGCGGAGAGTCGTACCCCAGCGCTTTACGAAGGGCCTGCAGTCTCGTGTACTGCGGCGGACCTTCTTGGATTTGAGAATGCTGGTTAGGCATCTGGGACCCAAATTCCAACCAAGTCAATGCTATCCCTGTGTGAGGTAGGGGAGTGAATGGGTGACAGTTGAGGAAGAGATATGGCAAACGGCGTGGTACAGGCAAATGCTTAAATATGCAAAGGGCGGTCAGCAATGTCCGTGAAAGTAGTGACACGTCCGGTTGACGCAGAAGAGGACGCCCGCCTGCCGCAACAGTGCTGTTTCATGTGAATAACATTTGCTCTGATGCTGGGAGTTCACTCATCATTGACATCACTGGAACTTGAGGGAGATTGGATCATACAAAACTTACGCCATCCACGACCGTGGAACACACTCCTGAAATATGACCATGGGTATTCCATTCGCCCAGCAACCCCTCTCAGATCAACCTGGCCGGCGGAGCTGATAAGCAAGTGATCACGTCTCTGAGCCTTTCTTTGATGATTATCCCATGTCGCGTGTGGCATAATGACCTATGGCCTTACTGGCGCCTTGTGCTTCAAGATCTGTTACAGCGCTGAAGTAGCCTAGGGCTTTTGCCAGAATCAAATGCTTTCTCTGGCTTGACCACCGCATGTAGGTCGCCAGCCCATGAGAAAAGGAAGGGACGCGCAAGCAGCTAGACGTTTCTCCAGATTCTTTCGATGCGAATCTTCTAGAAACTTGTCGAGACAGTCCTGGAATTCATTACACTGTTGCCCAGCCCCGAAAGGGACAGCGCTTTCTACCAGTGCCCTTCCAGGCCCTCCTTCCAACTACGTCTGAGGAACCTATCCTATTCTATCAACACCAGAGAAGTCAATCAACAAGGTGGCGGTAGCTGAACGCCCCTGGTTATGGAATTATTATGGTACCGAGCAGGGGAAGCAGTATGGTCTGTCCTTTCATTGACCTTAAATAGTGTGGGTATACGAAACTGGAATTTCACTACCGACATCCACTTTGCCAGTACTTGGTGAATTTCTTTATTGAACGATTACATGGCAGCAGGCAATTTTGTATCTGGTACCTGTCAACAGTGCGGCCCGGAAGCAGGAACTTCCCACATAAGATGTGCAACCGTGCGATACACCGGACGCCGCCACGCCATTGGTAGAAAAGACTTCATTCATGTGTGGTGAATCACAGATTAGATCCACCGCGACGATGGGGCACGGATGCAGGGACGATTTGAGCGGCTGTCCCACTTCACCCTGGCTCGGACTTCACGTCCTTGCGACTCTATCAATGTCTTCTCCAGCTTCTGAATCATCTTGAATACGCGCTCGTTGCTCGCGGAGCTGATCTGGGACTCGGAGTCGCGCTGCAATACTGGATTTTTCGTTTCCTGAAGTAGACTTTCCGACACCTCGATCGCAACAGCTGTAAGATCATTTAGGATGCGAACGCAATCCACGAAGAACCGATTCTCGTCTTCCTGGCGCTTCCACTGCTCCCACTTCTTTGCCACTGTTTCGGGCAATGAGAGTGGACGCTCGTGTTTGGCATTCTGAAGCCGTGTACGAGTAGTTTCAAGGGCCATCGTCGTCCCTCCAGCAAGGGCAATTTGATGGTCGAGAAGGCTGATTTCCGCTGGGTCATGTCTCTCAGGGAAGTTGCCCAGCTTTTGCTTGCGTGGGACAGGAAGTGGAGGAATCTCAGGGCCACGGCTATAGATACTGGACGCCGCATCACGGGTTGTTCGAATCGTAAGGTCTCTCGATGAGAGCATAGTTGGCTAGTGTTCCGCAAATTGGCAGCAGAGAAGTTGAAAGGGGTCAGTGATTCGTATAGCTCTATATAGCCTGACACTTGAGGTGATAGTGGGGTGACAGCACCATTTAAGGTACACGCACTGACATGGTAGCCTCACAAAGTTGATACTCCTTGCTTACAACTGTTGGCCACAGAGAGTCACCATTCTATATTCTTCTCTTGCACGTCTTTCGAGCCCTGAGTTTTCGGTTGCGTYTTTTCAGGCAGAGCCTTCAAGCATGCCTTGATGGATGCCATTGCGCGCGGCCAATCACCACACCGATTCGTGTCTGTCTACATATAGAAGGCACATACCCGCGTTAGACGGCCACGCCATGCGCTGTGCCTCTAGACGTAGGTACGCATTGAAGTTTTGCCAATATCYCCTCATATTCTATTGCTATTGGGAGTACCRTAATAATAATTGAGGGCGACGGTYCTACTGGGCAAGCGTCTGTTGTATCCATCAGTAGGGTCCGAGCGAGTCCTTATCTGTTCACTTCGTGGCTGTGCAGGAAGCTGCTGTCATTGACACGATCGATATTGCTTCAAATTGCGTTCATGTCTCTAGGCAACGGGGTCCCATCAAGACAAAGTTATCACTGTTGTTTTGATCTCCACAGACAGATTGAGACTATACTTCAGCCGGCCTTGGATAGTTACCGTGTAGATACGGGTCAAGCTACTCCGTAGATCAGCTAGCAACCAAGGTTGTATCCGAGCAGAAATAAAACAGGTAACGTACAGTTCTTGCCAGGCTAGTGCTACCATATCATACTTCCCCGAAATTCAGGTGAGTTCGTGGCTGGAGTTGGGGGCTTAACAGCTTACACGACACCATTAGCTAAATACTACGAATCCTGAAGGATGGGGCATGTAGTAGGGAAGTCCTCCTTCTGATTTTTGTTTTTTGTTTCTTTTCCTCCCCCACCTATTTTCGAAGAAGTTGCGGCATATCTGTAGCGCTGACCAATCATTGGGGAATAGATGTCAAGCCTATTGTACAATACCCCCCGTGGAAGAGACGAAACTGGGGGAAATCCCTTCGTGATATAATTTATCAAGTACTACTACGTTGAGCAGCCCTAGTCTTGTGCCTCCTGCTATTCGAACCTTCCGGCCAGCTTCTTTGTATGATCGCCTGAACCTGCTCTATATACCGGGAAAGTTGTCTGTACGCGGCAGTGGATTGCTCCCCCCTTTTTCCTAAAGCTTTCTGGTCACTTCGAGCTTCACAGAGACATTTAGCCAGGCCTTGTGCATGGGTGACAAAGTTTATGTACGGCCCCTCCTTAACTGTCACTATCCTGTTTCTTGGGGAGCGTCTCCTTGCAGGTGCTATAACATCGTTAGCATCAAGATTAGCTCAAATATAGGTTATAATAAATGGTCCAACCTTGTTCGGAAGGCCCAGGAATAGATATGCATCTCAGTAGAGATTCGTCCGGGTGGTATTCGTCTTGTGCGTCGCAAGAAGGTTGGCTTGGATTGTCCATGTCCATTGCTGCCAGCTCGTTCTCTACCCATGATAATGATGGGATAGGTTTATTCGAATCCGTAGACTCACCGAAAAGTGTACGAAAGTCGTCCTCACTGTCACTGTGGGACGCCGACATGTCCACTGACAACTCCCCTTCGATGGTTTGCATGATGTGCTGGGCGACTGAGGCTGTAGTTAAAGAGAGGATTGGCATTTTCGAAACGACTTTCCTGAGGTTATTATACGTTTGCCAGGTACCTCTTCCTGGATGTCGTGATGCTAATGCCGGCTACTCTATGAACTCATTCGGACTTCTCAGGAACTGTACAGTGAATCTCCATAAGCTCTGCAGTTCATTGACCCGCTACAGGACTGCCGAAAAAGAATCTTTCAATTTACCTGAGAATGAATAGGAAGCATCAGGCTCTAAAATCAACCCTGCAACCCGGTGCACATGCTACAGTAGCAACAAGTTCATCGTGCTGGCCTGATGCATCAGAGAAGATAGTGGTAGTCACCGCTCTCATCTAGCGGAGCCTCTGTCTTTGGCTTGCTCGCGGTCTGCGGCCAATGCGGTGAGTTTTTGGATCAATTACTGCCAGGGCCTGTAACCAAGCGCAGTTCATTGTCCGCACGATCCTACATTCGTGCTGCGTGTTGTTGCCAAATCACTACTGTATGGGGTGAATGACCACCATTTGTCAAAGAAGGGTGTCACGGAAGTAAAGACTATCTAGTACCGATGTTATCTAATGAAATCCAGAGCCACACATCAACATGTGGCAGAGTTTCTCATGCTGTTAATATCTGATTGGATGGAATCATCAGAAGAAGCTCCTTGGCAGAGGCTGCTGCGACTGCTGCTGCATCCTTGCAAATCGTTGTTCTTGTGAGAGTCATGGCTCCCACAGCTTCTATTTCCACGGAACACCCCTAGATTCCCTGCGGCATTTGAATCCCTGCGCCTGCCATCTTTCACCACTTGATTCATGTTCTCATACCCCGTTGATAGACTTTAGTTCAATCATAATCTATACACGTATTCGATGCTCCATGCTCGTATTCTGTGGGAGAGAGCTTCGTTGGAAGTGGTACGTCGGTGCTCTCAAAAGGCTGTTCAAGAGTGGGATCTTGCCACTCAAATCCTGACATAGGATAGAGCCGAGTTGGAGGGGGCGGTAAATGCTGCCCTTCAGCGGTGTATTGTCCACGCATAGCCAAGAACTCAAAGACCGATGGTTGCTCGCCGCAGAAGAACATGGCACAGGTGTCATCCAGAGACTGTGACCCTTCAGGATCGCTTTGAAACGAACATACTTCCTGTTCTGGTGCAGGGCTAGGTTGTTGTAAGGCACTGCCGTTGTCATTCTGTGCCGGGTGCTGAGCCCGTGGCCAGTCCCATCCCCAGTCAGGTTCTGCTAATGTCCCCGTGAAATCAGATACAGTATCCAACCGCATTGGGTCCCATGCATCCTGAAAAGGCCACCCGCTTAATTTGTCGACGGACATGCACGGGCTGATGAACGTACTCGCGTTCCCCATTTGGCCCCTGGCCTCTTCCCCGTGGAGTCCTGGAAGAATATTGTTGTAGTCGATAACTCCGCTCCGCTCCTCTGCAAAGGTGATATCTGCCGGGGGTGACGTGGGCAGAGTGTATTCAACACTGGTGCCTGAGAGGACGGTGCCCTCCGTTGCGCGATATAAATCATTTTCTCCGCCGCTTATCAGAGAAGGTCGTGCAATAGCTTTCCGTTTCTGTGAACCTGCGTTGGGCCGGGGGGTGCATGTCTCTTGGCTTGATAAACATTGTCGACACGGTAACTCAGAGCACTGGTCATGATTTCATGTTAGCGGGTCGTTCTAGTCTAACTTTCCATTATTGCCTCGGCTGAGATCCTGCTGCGCACCTTAATCTTGCGGCGATGACATCTTGCGCAAGCCGTGCCAGCCCTGCGCCGTTTTCTTCGCAGCGGCTGGTCCTAAAGCAGGCGTCAGCGATTGACTTTAACTAGAGGCGTAACAGGAGTAAATCTGTAAGCTTACCATAGTGTGACCGTCCGAAGCCTTTGCCGACTCCTGAGCGGACGTATTGGCACCAAGAGCTTCTAGTCGATGAGAAGGGGATGTCTCAAGTCCTTGACCATCATCGGCGCCAGTCTCTCCTTGGGTTCGACCTTGGTGCAGGGTGTTGCTCTTTGTTACTGTGCCCTGATCACGTGTTAAGGCCTCAAAGGAAGGTACTCGTCCTTGTTCGTCCATGTTTTGGGCCACACTTCGCTATAAAATCTATTAGAAGCACAAAACTCTGAGAGGCATGCCTCCATTCAACAGTTTCTTTTATCAGCCTTAATCTTTGAGACTGCCATGGCTTTATAGTTTCGTTTGTGCCACCCAAGCAGCCTGTCGTCAAGCGAGCAGAGTAAGTGAAATGATATAACTTGTCATAAAGAATGCCATTAGAGGGCCAATACATTCCGCGCATCCAACACACGATTGCAGCACTCACGTCACTAATTGCTGAAGATGCCAGAAAGCTGCTCTTGTAAGTCGTGTGGTGGCTCAGTAAGTTCCTATTCTTGCCGATATTCACCTCAAGTGGTTGGGGCCAGACCGCTGCGAAACAGCCAAGGACCCTCTGTAATGTAAAGCAGGCGTGCAACGGTGGGTCTATGTTTTTCTGGTTGGCTTCTAGCTTCCTGGTACCAGTAGTGGCAATCACGGGTGAGATTATGCCCTGGAGAAACTTGCTTGTTCCCAGGCGCAAATGAAACCTTCCCGGGAACTTAGCCTCCTCTCCCTGGTACGCTACGGCTCTCACGCGCACTGCACTACGCTAACCCTGCGGCAGAGATTGGACTGTATTTGGTTTGAAGTCTCCTAGGTATCACCAAACCACTAGCTTAAAGTGCAGTGCATGTCGCGCTAGTTCAGTCCGCCAATAGCATTCTCCCTTACCTGGGGTGGGATCAGCAATCGGGTGAGTCGGCGAGATTTCTGTATTTTTTCACGCGAGTCACCATCTCTTGGAAAGGATCGTCTAGAGACAGGGTTCCCCGCGGCTCATTTTTGAATCGAGAGGCTGCTTTGGCAACGAACTCTGTTTGGCTCGCTTGGTTCAGTTTAGATTCATCGTTGGTATGGGTATCCTGGTTCTTTCAATACTCTAACAGTTTTCCCCAGAAATTGCCGCCAATCTACGGAGCCACGAGTATCCCAGAATACCGCCATCGTAAACAAAATGATAACGCCAAAAATCCTCCAGTGGCTGAATGAGAGACGGCACTGATACATCGATGTCTAAAAAGTTCTTTGTTTCTGCTGGAAAGGTTGAGGTCAAGTGGGAGTCTACTGGGCGCCACTTTCGCCCTCTTGGGTTCTGCCGCTCTGCGTCAAGAAGAATATCTACACTCCACCCTATCCCCGTATCTCTTTGATGCTCTTGCGCTTTGCAGATTGCACGTCCATGACACACAAAGCGCTTGGAGTTCCCTTACATTCAAATCTGCGTGGTAGCCCCTAGAAAACCACATCTGAAAGCGTCGATCTATCAGTTTTCTATTGCCCGAGAACAAAGAATCGGGGCAGCTCAGATCAGCCACCGCCCACTTCAACAACCAATCAGATTCAACAGAGGCCCACTACAATATGGTGAATTGCACAATGGATTACCAGGGACGAAAAAATTCATATTACGCCCGGCTTGAGGTATATCGATCACTTAGATGGTGGCGCATTTGAAAGGAATCAGCCTTTGCTGCGTTTGGATCGCATACGATTAGTAGTGTTGTTGAGAACTAGTACTGATGTGGATACTGTAACGCTTGGCCTATCTACTATGGCTTTGATATGATAGAGATCGGCAAAAGAGTTATGAATATGTGCATCTAAATTAGTGCGCGTGAAACGATCAAGCTGGGCCGTCCAGACTATGGAGACCACAATCAACCTTATCCGAGCACCTTCATAGCTATCAACACACCTGCAAAGGAGGAAGAAGGAGGTCGAAAGATATAGAAAACCGCCCCATCCAGCGCAATTTCATCCCATTCGCCCCTGCCGATCCCTAGTATGGAGCTCTTGTACTACCCTACAGCATCCTACGCCGCCACTTGATCTCACTGAGAATCATTACTGAATTGCGAGGATGAAGCAGTGGGCCCCAGCCAGTCCCAGGCGTGGCTATTTTGACTTCCTGTTGACACCGATTGCCCGATTCGGGCCTGCAACATACCGGTTTAGTAAATTGTAAAGGTATTTTTTGCCGTCCCTGTCCTACGTGAGAGATGCCCGGGAGACACCACTGTTATTGACCACGAGGTCCTACCCATGGTCCGGCTCCACGGATGCGGTGGATCTGCACGGTCGGGGGCGTTTTGAATGCAAGACCGGTCAATGGCCACGACGGTCGACATCGTTCTACCTGTGGCAATCAATCAGGTCAAGGTCAGTCATTCCAGCAGGGTGGCTGGGACATTTCGACGCAAATATCCGGTTGGATCCTGTTACAACCACGCATTCGAACAGGATGGCCTCATATACTCAGGTGACCCTGCCAATAGAAGCAATTATTTCTTCCAGTAATGTCAACGGAACGAAAGCCCTAATTCTGCAATTATATCCTTCACTCCAGGCAATCCATTAGGGGTGCGATGTGGTTTCGAGGATGTGTCGGGGTTGGTCAAGGAAAATGGTGGACGGTTATATCGCCTATGCGCAGCGGCTCCAGGTCAAGGGTTTCTTCCCTAGTTGACCGGGTCAAGACGCCAACGAATTGGTGCAGTGAGCATACAAGTCAAAGTGGGCAAGAACGACAACAAGGTGCCCTGAGCCAAGGTAGCCTCAGGGATAGCCAATCTTGCCCAGTTGTATGTAGACTACACTTGTTTAAACCATCCGTTTTTGACCGGTTGACTAGCAGGATGCTGCAGGCGAGGGTTTTGGGGAATGATCCACACTCCAAAAGAGGGACGGGGTCATGCCCATCAACAGGGCATGTCTGAGGGACAGGTCAAGAAGCGAAGCCTCATTGAGAAGTCTCCGCGCGCGAGTACCTGCCAATATATACCCCGATTATATTGGATGGAGAAATAACCGGAGTGGCATTTACCCACCATGCAAAGCACATGCTATGCAAAATTGACCGACGATGGCGAAAGTTATGGAGACCAGACAACAGTGAGAAAACTTTGGGGGCGGTTTCAATCCGCGATGACTCTGATTTTGTTGCCTTAAGGCCGTCAAACTTGATCACCGGCGTGGGGCCCGCGTCTTGACACTGACCCTCTCTAGGAAGTTATCAGATGGTTCAACGTGAAGTTCATGGCGGGATTCCATGCCTGTTCGAAACGAAACTTTCGCAGTTGAGCTTCAACATCTGCTCCTGGTATTCTAAGACACGAAGTGAACATCTACATTCCATCGTTCCTGAGAGTCCTAGTACCGTTAAGTATGTTATTCTACATCTGGTGGAAGGCATTGATGGGTATTGCTCCCCGTTTCTAATACTGGAAGGTGAATATATAGGAGATATGTATATGTAGATAAATAATGAACGACTTTACCACAAACAAGAGCGTGAGAGCAATGTATTCGACAAAATAAACAGATTAGATAATATTGGTTGCAGTCCAATTCTCAACCGTACATTGGACACACCCCAGGCTCAGTTAGAGATGTTGATACCGTGTCACATGTACTGTAAGATCTTAAAGAGCTAGGTCTCGCCGCACTCTGGGAGTGCTTCTGTTTCTGATGAAACACTTGCTCGCGCCACTTTCTTAGCTCCCAACATAACGTCTGCACACTATTGTTTCCCACATATTAGAAATCTCCCTTGAGCAGCCGACTTGCGCCGCGGGTCGCGTAGCGTGAAACAGAACCCCTGTGCGGCCGCATGTCGACCAACACCCAGAGAGCTTGAAGTATATTGTAGGGCGTAGCAGGGGGAGGGAGATCAGTTACTACAGGGTTATTCAACGGCAGACCGAAAACGTCGAGGAATGAATTATGATATGCCACCTGATCTGCAAGTCGCATGGTAAGATGCTCTGCGAACCCCCTACAGTCATGTATACATCCGCTCGTACCTACATCCTTGTGCGCCCAGCAATATGGTATACTAGCTGCCACAGCAAATCAATCTTTGGAGATGAACCTAAATGCCGAGATAGCTCCCAGCAAACCCCTTGATGTCCTTGACAAGAGTAAATTATTAGCCTGTCGGGTGTTTCTTCAACAACGGCCATGAAAGCATGGTATCCTACCTGAGAGATCTGGTGTTGGTCTCTCTTCCTCTGAAGGATTTCCCGCACTCCCACGCTCGAGTGGAGCCTTGACCAACCGCATCCGTCGCGCTCCCAGTCGCCGAGCCCGTGCAATGGGCGGTTGCGCTGTTGGTTGGTCATTGTGAGAGCTGGACGTAGGTTTCTGTCGCGCCTTAACCTGCATCTCTGGGCTTTGGCCTTTGGTGTCATATTCAGAAGGGCTAGGAGTGTTGATTGAGATAGAACTGAGCCAAGCTTCGCGCTGCCCACGGCGCTGCCTTTTTGCAGACAGTTGCCTGGGCCGCGACCGTTCTGTGAGATCTGAGCGTTGGTGTCGTCTAATGTCCATATTTAGCAGGCGCCACTTGGTCCGCAGAGATTCGGCAGTCCTAGGCTTGCGTTCAATTGATTACTTTCTGGCCCTCTCAGACCATTTCAGATTTGGATGGCGATCCACCCATGATTGAAGCTCTCTTTCCTCGTCTGGCGTCCAGACCCGGTAGTTCCTCTTATCCAGGCCAGTCATTCTTTGTGGGAGGACTAGGGGAGCCGGGCAAACGATGGCAGAAGAGGGCGCGCAGAGGCAGAAATGAGGACGGCAGATCCAGTGGCATTGCCCGAGGTGCTGAAGGAAAATGATATTGCTTGCAGGGGAATGACAAATGGAAGAGATCCAGATGCAATTAAATGGGAGGGATGTTTATTGCTGGTATCAGGCGACCTTCTGCCTCACAAATTCACCATGACTGGCGGTGGAAAAGTGCATATTGACCAGGGCTGTTCCCATCTCCATTTCCACTGAGGCTAATGAGGCAAATACTACCCTACCGTTACCTATAATGGTGATAATAGTATTATTAAAGGGGAGGGGAGTTTCGATAAGAGTGGGTCTGTGTCAGAGGCCCGAAGATAGTACCCGCCATGCGGATAGGATTCGGGCGAAAACGATTTGACCGGACGTCGTTGGTTGGGGATCCGCCTCTGTCTGTTGACACCAGCGGCTGGGTTTTTAGTTTCAATGCTCAGCAACCATGTTGACTCGTCTGGTCGATCAGTTTGAGGACTGGTCATTCTAGGGAGGGCAACAGAGCGGTCGATCGTTCCCAGATTGGTTCATTACGATCCCTCTTCATGTCACCCCGTGTCAACCTCGCCGCCGCCGCCAATGGGGCCTTCATTTGAACTTCATGTCTCTGCCGCTGGCACTAGGCTTTAAAACCCTACGATTGATCCTCTTTTGACGTGAAGCCTTCCTGGTCCAATTGCCCGCTGCTGCTCAGTTAATTCGATTATCATTCAACATGCCGAAAGTCATACCCTCGGGGCCGGGCATACGCTCCACGCCCCGAAAGCCTGAGAGTCGCAGTTCCAATTCCAATCGGCGAAGTGTCCAAAGAACAGAACCACCCACATGTACTCCTCAGCAACCTCCTCAACCCTTACGACGTGCGTCCATGGTGCGTAATGGATAATCCTTGAACCTGATTTCAAAAACGCCGTTCTAATGTGTTTCTCACCCACCCTCCAGCTGCCACAGGTGTCACCTGTCCCCCTCTCCCAAGACACCACTGTTACCCCATTGGAGAAGAACCACAAAGTGTGCTTCGATACTGTGGAAGCGCTCGAGAGAGAGAACAGAGCTTTGATGAGAGACAAGGATGTTTTGTCTGAGCGTATTGGCGGGCTTGAAAGAGAGAAGCAGAAGTTGCTGAACGACCAACATCGGCTGAACGACATCCAACAGTTCGTGGAGGAATTCGTCGCTCGCTGGCAGCGGCTCCAGGGCACTGCTGACCCGCCCAATAATGGCGATCCTATGGCTATGTCCACGGAACTGCCGGCAGCGACATCAGTGCCTGGCATGTGGGACACTCAGGAGGAAGGAGCGGGAATGTTCAACAGCAACGACATTGTGCCAGGCTCAGAGAACTTCACGCAGCTTTTCTCATTCTAGTGGTGAGGTTTAGTGAGGTATACAGGTCCTGTCGCATGTGGGGCGAGACAGACTTCGTATGTTATTTAATTTGATTGGTGGACTTTCCGGTTGATGTTCCTTATTCCTCACAGATTGAATCAAAGGCATGGGGCATCAGCATTAAGCCGCGCTGAATACGTTTGGGGCATGCTGGTAGACCTTATGACGAAACATCGATCTAACGACATCACAAGTGTACCTCGGTCAGACTGAATCCTCTACCATCAAAATAGCTTTCGTATGCTACTTGTAAAGAGCCAAGCACTTCTAGGCTGAGTAGCAATAGCAATGGATTTGAGTACGGCTCCAACAAAGCTCTAGGAGATTCACATTGAGAGCAACATAGACAGGCGCCTAGCTGCATTAGGGGCCCGCCTTTCTTTTATAAACAATCCACATGAGAGGGCTGGACGAGAGAATGTAGCTGATTCTGCCCAAACCCCAAGGCCAAAGCAGCGGTGAAATAAAGCAGTAAGCAAAAATCACGAGCAAGCCATTAACCATGGTATTACAATGTGCCAGGGGAGCAAAATTAACAAACAAAATTTTGCGAACATGACCAGTTGGACATCAGCTCTGTCAACCAAGGTTATTTCATAAGGGATGCTGCTCGCGGATGGAGTACCCATTGCCAATATTCAGGAGTCTGTTTGCCCAGGGTCGCTTTGAGTTCCCAATGGTCTAATCTTCTTCCAAGTTCTTAGTCTTGTCCAGGACGTGCAAACGCCTGACATCAGAGCAAAATCATACAAAGAAACAGCACTGTTGCTGTGTCCGGGCCCTCCTCTTCTGTGTCAACCGCACGCGTCACTATTTTCACGGACATTGTTTTCCTAAACGGCCCATTACTATTTAACTACGTTTCCCGCAACGGCATGTACCACGTCGTTTCTTTTAATATTATCCTCTATTGCTTCCTCCTCACTTCTCTGCCTCAGAAAGAGAGGGCATTTGCCTGGATTTAAGTTTCGGGTCCCAGATGTCTAAGCAGCATCCTCAAACTCAAGAAGATCCGTCGCAATACACGCGATTGCAGGCCCTCCATAGAGCGCTAGAGTGCGACTCTTCGCGACACGACCAGCAATTCACTTCTGCTCCTCCTCGCAACAAGCATGCTATCGTCGCGGACGCACACGAACCCGCCGGATGCGATGACGGTCCGTGGGACATTGCTAGGTCCAGCGTGAACTCCCCCAGCCAATCGACCAATAGGCTAGATAGGATTGGGGCCCAAATGTCGGCCTTACCCTTCCTGAATGAGTACAGTACCATGGGTCCCCATATGCTGCCACAATATCAAGCAGCGAAGCTAACAGACAGATGTTGCTAGACTATCCGAGAGGGTGGAGTAAGTGCACCGTCGCCACTCTGCGATAGACGACCTTTGCTCAGACTAATGGAATCAAAAGGGCATTGGAAACCGTTGTGGAGGAACAGAGACAATGGAACGAGGACATTGAAAGGACTACAAAGCAGCTTCGCCAGTCATTGCTAGCCCGTGGTGGACAGAACACAAGGCGTACCGAATCCAGTGGCAGTTAAAACACTGTATCATCCTGCGTTTCTCCAAAATCGATGAACTTGATCGCCCAGCAAGATTCCTGTCGTAAGCGAATATATTCTGCCGGGTGTATGATAACGTCAAGTCACTAAAGAGTTTCGAGCAATTTTTAGAGACCAGAAATGCAGGACTTTCTCGTCTAGCACTTGTCAAGACTTGACGAGGTCTTCTTAGAAAACGAGGGGGCAATGTGCGTGGCAGAGCGGCCCAAAATGTGGGGAAGTGACGGTGGCGGGGATCTCAGCGACCACCATGGTGTCCAGGGCCGGGGCTCGCAATCCTTACTCTGATATTTACGCACATACTCCGTATGGTAAGGGAGAATTCCCAGAGACTAGCCTGCTCAACTCCCTTCTGGCGAATCAGAAACGAGGGCGTCTCCACTAATGACGGAAGTGCAGATCCGAGATTGCTTGTGGGACCGTCTGCCCTCATGTCACGCTGCTGTTGAACTTGATTGGCTGGTGAAGTTGGTGGTGGCTGATCTGCTCAGTGAAAAAGGTAAAGATCGTGACCGTATCCTGCTCGTTCCTTTGTTATCGTCGATCGAGCTGTGGAGAAACCGATAGATCCAGAACTCCCAGAAGTGCTTTCCCAAGAGCTACGATGCCGATTCTAGGGCAAATGAAACTTCAGATGCTTTCCACGTCATGGATATATGATCTGCGATATACAAGTCGCATCTGAGACTCTGAATGATCCATACAGTATGTAGATCGACGATCATGTATTCCCCTTCCTGACCAAAAAGCAAACCCCGGAATGGCAAAAGTACCGCTCAGTAGACTCCTAGTTCACTTCGGCCATTTCATCAGAAACAAAGAATGACTGATGGCAGATACAGTCCAATCCAAGGAAGCGTAAATCACCTATTCCTTGATATAAAGCGCAGCGCGTAGCGCGGCGACAGCTGTGCTAGAGCTGACATTGACTACACCCACTAAAAAAAGCCTGTACTTCTCGATCGTGGTCGCATTACATATCGCCATCCAGACCTGTCCCGGTAATATGGTACGCCATTCCAAATTATCGCGTCTTAGTCTGAGCGCACCGCTTCACACATTAACCATTTGGGTTTTCGGCTCTATTCGAGACATGGGATCGGTCCAGATCCATGGTCAAAGGCCCCTTCTAATATATGCTCCTCTTTTTTTTTGCGGACCATGACATTTCGCCCTTATCTAAAGCTTTGCTGCTCTGACTGCGTTATTCTGGAATATATCTGGTCCGTTAAGTGGAAAAAGACACCGTCACCTGATTCGTTACCGATCTGCCGGGCCGGTCCATTAAACCTTAATGAAATCCACTCGGAGGATTGGGTACCAGAGGTGCGCCACTGTTGGAGCCGCTGGGCCTGGAACGTCAGTTACCTGACATAGTGGCACTGGGTCTACTTACATGGGTGACGGCAAAGCGCCTCCATTCGATCCAAGGCGGTTATGGGCAGTATTTAGCTTAGTATTTAGCTTTAGACCGGAGTGTCAACAGATGACCCGATGAACGACTAAGAATACTATGGCTTCTCCACTCTTCGATCCGCTGGCTTGCTTCTCGTGCTTTGGAACATGTTATGTGACATTATCCCCAGATTTGAGAGATCTATCACACCGATCGTGATTCACCTTATTTGTCATGCATCCGTATCCCTTTATCCTTGCTTATAATTAGTGCGCCGCTAGACTGTAAGTTCATGGGTACAGCTGATCAGGGACCATCGAAGGAGTAGGAAAGGGACTGAGCTACTCATCAATCGTGGTAAAGTTCTGGAGATAGCTCGTTGGGTTCTTGATAGGGATGAATATTTTCGCTTTCCTGGTTTAGAAAATTATTACATCCGAAGCCACTAATGGCGGCCTTCTCGGAAGCAAGCAAACTGGAGTATTATGAAACTGCAAAGTTTCCCCTCTTAATTATCATGCTGTTACCTGGTAAGGCATTAATATACGGTCATCCCTTATGCTCCCAATCCTTTTTATCTCTCCTTTGAATCGCGTCGTGCCTAAGGATACCTGCCAGTGTCTTTACCGCTTTCTAGACAACAGTCTCTAAGCGACCTTAGACACTACAACCATGGTTGACTCCAGGCCAGGTGTTTTTGGTGAACACATATTCTCCTGCTTCCCAGCTACCAATGAAGAAACGATGGCCTGGCTTGTGAATCCGGCCTTGCACCTATCTTTCCCAGTCAGTCACGGTTGGGATCTTTCCAGGCAGAACCGCCGCAACCTTTGGGACCAAACATGTCGGGGCAATATGGAACTGTTAAAGGTAGGTATCGACGGTACCGCTTCCTATGCAACTGACTGAGCATCAGGTCTCATGCACTGACGGAGTGATAGCCCCAGAAATGCGCCTCTGTCGACGGCCACCCGCAATGTGCGCCATTACAAAAGCTGGTGAGATGCTTTCTATTCATTCCTTTTGTGTGGAATAATCCAATTGACTTATCTGGCTTACGCTGAAATCTGTAGACTAACGGAACAACCCATATGAACGCAAGTCCGGTCACTCAAGACAAGGTTGTCTCGGACTGGTCAACTCAGATGCCCCGGCGGCGGCAGCGAACTCCTCCCCGGCCGTCCGCTCGCGACAGCATTGGAACCGCTAGGAAAGATAAAGCCAACCGTGCCCATACAAAGAATGAGAGTTTCAATCTCCCCGGTCCGCTAAGCAAACTATCCGAGACAATGCATATTCCCATCCGAGACATGCACTCTTGGGTGAAACGCCCGGATAAGGAGCGTCATCAGGAGGTTTCCGAAAGGGACGGGAGGATTCCACGGCCGATAGATTCGTTCATGTTGTACAGGTCGGCTTACACCAACCGAGCGAAGCACTGGATCGAGCATAATGATCACCGGAAAGTGTCCATCGTCACCGGAATTAGCTGGAAAATGGAAACCCCGCAAATCAGGACGGAGTATAAGGAGCTCGCGAAGATCGAGAAAAGGAACCATGCTAGGGCGCACCCCGGGTATCGCTTTCACCCGGGGTATCGCTTTGGGGTAAATAAACAGAGAAAGCGTTCTTCGGCGCCAAGAAAACATTCAAAGAAAAAGACCCGGGACTTATCCCAGCTGCTACCCAACCCAGGCCAGGCTTCCGAAGCCAGTCGGCTCTCTGCTCCGCTAGGTGATGTCAGGCCTAGTGGCCACGTGACAGAATATCACATAGCGGAACAGGGACTGCCCATCGGGATTAGCTCGTGTTGGACCACGATCTTGGACCCATCATCGCATATCGGTGACCCTGCCTGCTGCGAATGGCCCTCCTGTTCCCAGAAAGTCTCTATCAGGCAACATCCGACAAAGCCTAAGGAGGAGAATGCGCCACTCAGACCGGCCAGCTTGCAGAACATCCAGCCTTTTTTGACTGCCGCCCCGGGACAGCCACTAATGTTGGACCACAGTCCGCTGCCACCTCAAACATCAGACTCAGGATCTGAAGAGGTCGATATCCAGTCCAATTTGGATTCTCTCTCTGTCCAGTACGTCACGTCCCCTGATACAGTTTACCCAAGTGAACCGCATGACTTGAACACCCTCAGCTGTGCGCAAGCGTTTGGATTGTATGCCTCCCACGGGTACATTGATCCAGCATAGTTGCTTTCCACCTGCTTATTGCTTGATCACTTTCTATTCTACGCCGAAGATGTGCTAGTGCCTCAGAGTCTCAAACATATCTTTGCTTTCCATGTTCTCTATCTTTCGATCTAGTGGTGATATTATCTGAATCCGTACCTCTTCTTGCCTGTTTCTTTAGTGAAGACTTCTCCCATAAGTAGATCCTTGCTGGATATATAGGACTGGCGTCAACGCAGTACTGGTTGTCATCTGCCCAAGTAGGGGGAAAGTTCGATATAAGATGAGCAGAAGTCCAGACTTGCCGCTGTGGGTGGCAGCTTCCCACATGACCCAGGTAGGAGAATCATTTAGGGGGACCAGGCTCCCGACACAACGAATCACTGACAGCGCGGAAGGAAGGGTGTAGGCCCGGCAAGGGATTAAGCTACGCAACCAGAACTTACCTACAAGGTGACAAGAGAGGGTTAATACCAGAGAACGCACTGACGTGTAGACATCTTAATCAGTGCTCTGGGACGTTGCCAAGCGGGTAATTTTCGTTGAAAAGGAGCTGTTTTCCACGGCCCAGAGCAGTTTCAAGGCAATCGGAGTCTGTCACATAACCTCCTCCCACAACCGGCGGGAATGCCCCGTCTCCTCAGCGCGTCAATGCTGACCAAGGAGGGGGAAATTCGGACCGGCAACACCTAGCTCTCAGAGCAACAGCTCACGCAGCGGAGGTTACTACAGCCGCGGGCACCAGCGTCAAATATGTCTTACCCACCTCCGGTCCGGCAGACATCACCCCGCGGGACCAGTGGGATAGCACTATTTACTATGGATGCGACAACCATTCTCCAGAAATCCGACCGGAAGCGAGAATTGAACATGTCCCGAACAAGACGACCCTCAGTAGTACTTGCATGCCTATCGGTCAGGCCGTATGGGGCTCAATGCCAGTGGCCACAGCGTCAGACTTAATGGAGACATTATCAGCATTCCACTGGGGTTGGACTGGCTCCAATGCAAGTACCTGATATGGAATGACGCTGGTGGTATCTTACATCCACCTGGCCATGCGCAGGGACTGGAAGTGTTATCGTTACGCAGCGAGCCCGTAAGAGCTCAGTATTCCGTGAACACTGCCTACATAACTTCTCGGGATGAGCAGCCACAAGAGAAGTCTTATGTCGTAGCTATGCGAGGAGACTACGCTCCTGAGTAGCAGGAGAGCTGAGTTTTCCACCCCCCTTAAGCGGGCTCCTATGTCAGAATCTGAGCCGCAGGACTTCACCTTTGAAAGACCACTGGAAGGCCCCGTCTTACACTCTCAGCCGAGCTCTCTCCTATGCCAACCAGAGAGAGCTTGATTTATTAACCATGCCACATGGGCAGGTGTCCCTGCCCGACACCTGCTCAGGTAACGTGGATGATTGGCAAGCAGCGACCGTTGCCGATCCAAACACATCACTTTGCGCCGACTGGGTGACCGCGAGTGGAGTGGGTCTGTTTGAGGACGTCGCCACAACACCCAAGCACCCAAGCACCGCACGGTGATCTTCCAGGATCCGGGCCAGTAGATGACGTATCGTCAGTTGGGACTCCTAGACACACTGTGAGGCATATAAGGAGACAATGAAGGCAAATGACCAATCTATGATGGAGAGTATATGGGACATCGAGGAAACATGGGGGTGATTGAGATATCTAACAGATTGCCAGACTCCAGCAATTCCTCCCTGGATAGTGTTTCCTCTTCTTTGTAGATCTATAATTTGTTTTGGATGGGCCCTGACTACCTTGGTAGGGCAAACTTGGCAACAAAGGATAGCTGCATCTACAGATGGTTTAACTCTCTTTCTATTAAGATGCATTACTGTAATTAGCAACGGTATATGGCGTTATCCTGCTGCGGACAGTTTGGAAGATCGAGTGCTGCACGTAGCGTGGCGTAGTCCCACATATATTGGGCGTCTATTCTTTTCGTATGTCTCAACAGATCACATCCAATAGCTATCTTCATGCTCCATTTCAGGTTATTTGCCACTCGGCCTAAGGAATCTTCCCACTGTCTATACTGTGTCAGTGGCGTTGTTCTCCAAATCAACGACATTGTGATCGTTACGGAGAGACTCTGGGCTGTTGTTGATGGTGGTTGCGAGGATGCGGGAAGACTCAGTAAAGTCACAATCAGGTCGACCGACTGATTTTTGAAACATGAACGAAGGAGAGAAGGCCACTGAAAGAGATGGCATAAAATCACCTTCGCAATTCTTCTAATTTCGCCGCATCAGAGGCCGAGTGATGTTTGACTCACAGCAGAGTGCTCTCAGGACATCACGAAGAGCGTCAGTTGCTCCTCGACACGTGAAAGAGACAGCGGGTGTACATTCACTTCAGATGAATCGGTTGCTTGCAGGAGTTCAAGTCATCATGATGCTTTCTGTTAACTGAGACTATTATTCTTTTACCAACGGGTTGAGAACGCCGGTTCGTGGTAGTTGCGAGATTATAAATCAGATGCAGGCAAAAAAACCTCTCCTATTGCCTTTCACGCGTATTTTACACTATTTTGTTTATATTCCATGTTTCGCATTCGAAGCAGCACCATCAGTAGCATCTGAGAAAAACAAAGTAGAAAAAGACAGAAATTCTGGAGGCCGTGTAACCTTACAAACTCCAAATGATCCTAATTATATGACCGAAGGAGTGGGGACCAGATTGGTGAACTTAATGTTCGCAGTGCGCCATCAAACGGCGTTATCTCGAAGGACTCCTTTGGTTAATCCTATATACACTGACTTATAGGATGAGTGATAATGGGAGTGTATAGATCACTGGTCAATCACTGGCTGAATTTGGTGTCAACAGTGTCCAACCTGCAGCGGCTGAATATACCAAATACCAGAATGTCGCCACTCCACATTTTGTCCACTTCGGTATGCCTGTAGGACTCTCTGAGTACCATGTCGTAGGTTGAGAGGATCGCAAAACACGTTTTCAAGTACTGCTTCATGTTCGATCTAACTTCGTCGGTCGAGAATTGGTCCAACGGATCTGTAACCACCCGGCCTTCTCCTTCCTGTTCCTGCCCCTGAAGCCAGGTGCGATCATCCGTGATCCCCAGGGATGCTCAAAATATACGGTGGAGTATATTCTGAGCCGGATAGTCGTAATCCGCTAGGACATTGTCTATGAATCTGACGAAGCTCCTGGCTTGAAGCAATGGCTTAGACCTCGCAAACTCAGGAAATCTCTTTTCAAACACGGCGGCAAAGATATGGAGAGTCAAATAAGCCTTAAGGGCTCTATGGGCCACATGATCGAAGCCAAAGGAGTGGCCCCAATGGAGGCACCTGAGATCCTGCAGCGGGATTTTGGGATGACGAGCTAATCGGCATAAAGCGGTCTGCGCTTCGATACTAACTGGTTGGTCACCCTCAGCAGATATAAGTATCAACATTTTCACTACGTCAGCCAAGTCACCATCTCTAGAAGAATATACCGGCCCGTCCGAGTTAGGATATTCCGCCCGCTGCAGCCAGTATACTATCTCCTGGTGGCGATGCGACAAGGGATTGTGTCGGGCAGAATTTGTGTCATGGGGCCAAGGCCATATTTCCTCTCAGGATAAGATAGAAGATCGTCGGAGAAAAGGGGGTCGGAGTCGGTGAGGGAGGATAGATCAGGGGTTCTGCGTTGCTGGATGTTCGAAAAATCTCGGATGGTGGCGATCAACAGTCTGCGAAAAGATTGAGATCGTTGGCTTGCGACGGGAGACCACGAGGGAACAGATCAGTGCAGCGGGGAGTGATGTGAGGACAGTCGTGGATGTATTGGAAGTGCGAGGCGACTGTGTTCCAGGGGATTTTGTGGTCGAGGTGCATATTGAAAGGTTGTTGTTTTGTTAATCTTCTTGGTGGTTGCAGGCCAGTTCGGTTCGTACCTTTTCGACAAAGTAGTTGGGTTCGACGCGCTAAAAGCTGGCATTCACGGATTGGTGGAACTAATGTGTGGAATTACTGCCTGAGGCTAGATTTCGCTGGGTCTAAAATTAGATAGGTCTTCTCTTTCCTTGTCAGCCAGATCAGCCAGCTGCGAGGCTCTGTCGAGGAGTAATGGGTGGAGGGAGATGGGCTACAGGATCAATCCATGTAGAAATTGTTATATTTAAATTAACCAATCCGTGCTGGTCAGTAAGTTCTCTGATTAAGGAGCTTTTCATGGGCGGTGACCAGCTCAGTTCTGAGGTTACATACTGTCTCAGTTTCAGCATGTTTCCACTCGTTTCGACCAAGCGGCAGGAACTTTTATTGGCGTGTATTCTATACGTGGATACAGCCTTTGCTATTCGACAACAGGCATTCCGTGTTTATGTTTCACAGCTAGCACTTGAGATGCGTGATCTATCGTCCCTCAAAGTAGCTCTACTTAATCTCAGGGACCAATCCCAAGACAAAAGAGAAAGTACTCATTCAACTCTGACAGTTTCCATAGCGAAGTCTGCTATCGAGAAGTAACCAAGCCTAGCGGAATCTCACAGCGCTAGTACCTTCCAATAAGTCGAGTGTGCTTCAGTATTTAGGTAATAGAGCAAGAGCTCAAATGCGGCTAAGCACAGCTAACGAAACGATTGATTGAGAATGTGCTGAGAGCGGCCTACACAATATAAATGCGAGATTATGTTCCGAATGTGGAAAACTCACAGGAGCAAAGGGATAGCGGGAGCCCCACTCCTGTAGGTGATTTCAGCTGCCTGATAGTAAAGTTTATTCTTATTGGCATGCTTCAGTGCCGTTTTCGTACACAGTGTTACTTTACTGCTGTATTTGCTTTGAGAGAAATGGTGAGCTAGCAGTTCGATTGTCTTTCCTGTCAAAAGAAGGACAAGTCGGGCATTTACGCTGTATACCTTATCCTTAAAATCCTGTACCAGGCCAAGTAAATTATGTTTCGACCTTGCCATGTGGAAATAATACAGTGCTCAAGTCTTTTTTGCCCATTTCCAAAAGGGCAGCTACGATAGTATTCAGCCAATTTCGATACAGCAGGCCTTGACTTGGTTCCATTCAGGCACATCTTACCAGAGCATGACCGAGAAAGACGTAACTATATTTGCACTGCTCAGAAAGCCATCTTATGTCGTTAGTAACTCGCATCATACAGATTGTACTATAACGCTGAAGCGCAACCCAAGCGATGCGTGTGGGAGCGCCTGGCACGTATACCTGGCTGACCACCAGCGAGCACCGGCATAACCGGCCACTTCCGGAGACCAGTTATTTTGGACGGTTAATATTCGAGAGAGGGCCCGGTGGGGATGTGGAGCAGACGGCAGGTTAATATTACCTATCCACAGGAGCTACCTGTGGCACCAGTTTCGGGAACGTTAGTGATGACCTTCACCAGGTCAAACTTTGCTAAATGCCCGCTGCACCGACTCGTCGGGCATCTTGACCTGGTCAGTCAGGAGAGGAATCACCGGAACTGTATTTGTCAGTAATAGGGCGAAACAATCACCCAACCTTCCTGACCCTTACTTATTCACAAAACCATACTACCTTCCTTACCGAGTCGATTTTGACCCTGGTCAAAGAAATCAAAGAACACCAGCGCCGTATCGCGGTTGCCAGACAATCGACGCTCTGATAGGACTTGGAGAGACTTGACCGTCCAGAATGAATGGACCAAGAATCTCCAAACAAAGGAGGCGGTATAATCTACATGGTCCGTCCAAGTACTGGACACCACCGGGTTATTTTTCGTCATTCTCACTACGAGTAGCGGGAAGGTAACGCCGCCTCCACTCGCCATGGTTTCCCAGTTCCTAGCTGCACTGGATGCTGGCTGGATTACAATCTCTTGGTCAGCGTTCGTCTCCCTCAAAGCTCCTGTCAACCCCAGCTCTCAGATCGTCTCATTGCAAGGTTCTTCCGCGCAATCTTAGAGTTTCAACCCGGTCCATATGTATTCTACACTGCGTTTACCAGCTACTGTACTCCTAGCGTCCTCATGGCCGTCCCACATAGGCCTGACAGTCGTGAGGCATATCGCATGCAACGTGTTCTCATGAGGGAGGCCGGCTGCGTAGAGATTAGAGTCCCTCAATGAATTGATGGACAATTTGATTAATGACCCACTCTGCACAAGAGAGTAATGAAGCCCAGTCGTTGACCAGGCAGTAAGAGTTGCTGATGATTCTGCAGCCATCTTTATCGAAGGACAAATCCGTCCCTCTGGCGCTCGGAATTCGAAGCAAATGGGGTGACAGAGAGCTAGTGTGAATGCCATGTTCTAACGATCAGACGGGGTAACTTGCGGGGACAGTATTTCTTGACAGCCTTGCTATTTGTTTTCGATGGCAGAATGCCCTCAGTTTCTTCACCATTTAATTCAATTTATCCCATTTTATCAAGTTGAGGTAATCGATCTCCTGGACGACGACAGGCCCGAAAAGCAAATGACGCTCAAGGTATTCCTGTCATCACATATTTCCATGGAGCTTGTTCACCTACGCCATCACTCAGAGATCTAGGCCGGGCATCACCAAGTAACGCGAACGACCCTATATGTTGTGCTGAAGGGCCCACGGAGTCGAGGCAATCATCAGTAGTCTGAATACGGGCAAATGGTATCGTTCATCCCCCGTCTCTTTTCTGCCGCGTTCCTCACTACATCCGCAACTTTACTATCACTGCCCGAGAACGTCATAATATAACTCCGGCACATCTCGGGTTAGTATGGGATAGGCTGTACTGAAGTGAATATAAAAAAGTCCACTGACCCAAGCCTGTCTAGGATCGAGAAGGAATTTGGGCGCAGCCGTGGAGATGACTAGAGACCCTCACCAATCAAAAAAGCATTTTATTGTAAACCGTCTGCCGATTGAACTCACTGGCGCCGTGGCCAACTTGATGTAATCTTCTTGATGCTAAATGATTTGCGCGCCTTCCACACCAATCGCACACCATAGCTTCCAGACCTTGGATCCCGTTTCTGCCGCACTCCCTACAGTTGTTGGTCTCCACTTCTCGTACCATAACCAGCCTTTGATAGCGTGGTCTTGGATATCCTCGATATTGATCAGTTCCTGCGTGACCACTCCGGTCCCCGTGCTGCAGAAGATCTCAATCACACCAGACATGTGACAATCGAGACCCTGACATTGTTAGGCTTAAACATTGCGTGTACGATAGTGTCTCCTCCCCACTGGCCGTGCTGGGAACCGCCATGAGGGAGTTCACTGCGGAAGGCGGTGCAAGCCAACGGACCGTCAGGCTTCCTGAACGACATCTGTTCACCCGAACGGATCACGCTTTTAAGAACTTTGAGACAGGCACTTTCCGCTTTTTCAGGATGAGTTGAAGTCGTTGCTGCGGGAATGGACGGAGCCTGCATTTATGGGAATTTCCTGGATGCCGTCGGCATTTTGTTCGCGGCTAGAGAAAGCTCCATCGCCTCTCCTAAGCTGCAAACGGCACCTGCTTCCACGCTGGTCATCGACTAGTCGGTATACGTACGACACCGTTTGGTGAAAGGGAGCGGGAGGCATCCAGCATCCGTGAGAGTTTCACGCATCGCGAGAGTGCATTCGGCAGAATTGCCAGCATCAATCGACTGGAAGCCGTCAGAGAGAGTCACCATGGATCTCCGTTGGTCAGGAGAAACTCAGAATAGAAAGCATCGACACTGCCTTCAAGAATTATAGCTTCCACGACACGGCGAGAACTCCTTAAACTTTTCATACAGACTAGCCATTCAAAGTGTGGTAATTGCGCTTACAACAAAGAGGGGGACCATCAGTAAATCTGAACGGCCAGGGAGCGGCAACCCGAAGAACAGAAGCAAAAAAGCGGTGCATTGGTCGTCACAAACAAGGCAACAGAACCTGCCGGAGATATGGCTCCGTTGGAACATCACCAATATATCTATGGTTCTGGCAGCAAGTTCCTCAGACTACATATGACGTCAATTTGCTGGGTGTGTTGCAGGGGCATTTGCAGAGGCTGCGGATCGCGCCTTACGGGCATTTCTTGTGCTCGGATACGCGGTGATCGCAATCATTGGCGAAACTCGGCGTTGTCGAAAAATCCTCCTGATATTTCGGCAGTCCTCACGATGGAGCTCGCACGGAAAACACTATCCAAAGTTGATCAGAATCGATACTGTAACTAATTGAGTGAATTCAAATGTGACTACTCCGTCTGTGATGCTCTATCCTTGAAAGGATCGCTCAGAGCCCAGTTATGTGGTGGGGTTTGTCACCCGCTAGTTCTTTATTCCAGCCAATAACTCACATTCCTTCTCAGTTGGCTTCCAGGCTGTGACGTCATCCAAAGTAGTAATGACCATAAGAGCACAGGTAAGTCCAAGAACCGGAAACCATTTCCGTCAGTGACAACGGTACGCTGCACAGTCAGCGGGCATCCTTCTAGCATGGAGATTACCCGGCTATTGAGTGCGATGTCAACATTGGTACGAACTACCCGTCTCATCTCAATCGGGGAAAGGATCCCATTCACGCCTGTGCCGATTCTGGCGCCTAAGATGCTTATAAGCAGGGGATATCCCAGAGTGTCAGCGCTGTAGCTCCTCGCTGCTTCATTGCTGGTACCCAGCTAGCAAACGACAGCTGACAGAAAGGTGGCAGGCTCGTGAAAACCAAAGCACCGAATGATCGCTAATCTCACGATAGGAAGCTGGAGGCGCTAGAGCGCAAATTAGATTGTTATGAGAAAATGCTACGGTATCTATTACCGAAAGTGGACATAACGGATTCAGAGAACATAAAGTCGTTATTATCCGATCCTTCTACGATGAAAGAGTCAGACTTGGTCCGGTTTGATGCATAGACAGAATATATGGGGGACGGACAGAGAACTGAGATATCGCAGCTAGCTCTGGTCAGCTACACACTTTGACTAAAGCAGCATCAAGGCCCCTGCTTGTATTGTTCAACACTTAAACACTATGTCTAACCCCCTAGCAACTAGACATGCCCAAGTCTCCCGATGTGACTCTCAAGATCCATAATTCTTTCTCATACCAAAGCATCAAAGCCCCATCAAGCTGCCGCAATGAGCGAGCCTCTGTACATCGCCGAAGAACGTGATTGTATCCGTTGGACTTCTTCATGTGAGGGCCGCCATTCGGTTGCATCTGGATTATTGGGCCGTCTTCACTCAATCTCTGGAATTCAATTAACTGGCAGAGGCCGCGAGAGATGGCGGTCGCTGTAGGGTTTACCACGGTGCCCCATCGCACGGTTTTGGCACAGCCTAGTCAACCATTACAAGGGTCAACAGCCGCTCGAAAATTGGATGTTGACTTGTGTGCGACTTGGACGCAAATGGTCGCACCCAATATCACTGGTCTCGTGTTTTAGTCCTGGGTGAGCTGGAAAGTAACCCCAGCGCATTATGCTCTACAGAACTTTTAGTCCATTACACAATCGAACACACCTAACTTCAGGTCTACTAGTGAAGGAAGAGAATGTAGGCCATCCGTACATACTCATTCTATGTCATCAAAGATTGGAGGATCGCCCTGAGGAAGCTATGATCCTATCGCGGGCTTTAAAGGCTCAACTGATCACCATAGGAGAGTTTTGGAATCTACACGATCAGCTAACGCCACAGACACGCGGAAAACAGCTACTTTACAACCTTCGCAAGCGTGCGACATGAGCTTGACTGCAAGTGAGCCACCTTGACATTGCGCGGTATCTCGACACCACGGTCTATGATGCAAACCGGAAAAAAGAAAAGATTTTCAGATTGAAGAGCGGGTGCTTCCGCAGCAAGTCTACTGGAGGAAACCACAAGTCCGTCGTCTGTGTCGGTGGAGGCCGGGTGGCGGCGAATGAACAAGCAGCTTTTTGTGGCAGTGCACATGTGGCTGATTAACTCTTAAGGTATCACATGTGGCGGTCAGTTAATATTTGCGGCTCCTGAACACCACCTTCCAGAACCCATGTAGCCAGTATAAAGCCAACCAGCTTCCTCAGCAATCCGTTTGCTCTTAATGTATCTCATGATCTCTCTCCCTTTTTCTTCCCCAGCGATGTGGAGGTCACGGCATTGTTTGGTTCCGTTGATGCTTGTCACGAGACTACCAGAACTTCTTTCGTCGGCATGTGGGCCCAACTCCCAACAGCCCCTCACTAGGAAGGCGTTTCTTCCCTGATAAACATCGCGCGATGTTGTGTTTCTGCTTATCCCCACAATAAAACCACGGATAAAGCTCTATTCCCAGGTCAACACTGGAAGGACTGTAAGCAGATATACCTAAAATGAACTCTCGAGGTAACTGACAGTGCTGGGGCATGATTAGCTACGACGACATATGCGCCGCTAGCGGGGTACGCTCAAGATGTCGGAAACGTCAGTATCACCAAACAACCCAGTCAGAATCCTATCACCTTCAGATACACTACGACCATGTGCAGATGCGATAGTCGAAATAACTCACAGGGTTATCGCAAGCTCCGAGTCTCCTGACCCTGCGACGAGGTTCGATCTTGGAGAGGAATTTGCGCCAGTGATAAAGGAAGCGAAGAGGCTCTATCAAGAGGTGTGGAATACCCGAATATGTCCATGACCCCGCCTAATAATCATTAGATGAAGTCGTTGTCAGTATCTCCTGAGATCTCCTCTCACGGTGCGGTTTTTCAGAAAAGCCCTTACGTCGGACGACTACACGATACGATTGTGGTGCCTATAGAAAATTTGAGTGGCGTTAAAGTTACTGTCCGGGACACGGCTGGAAATGCCGCAGAGGTTGACTGGACATGGAGGAATTTCCTATTCGCCTCG